CTTTTCTTAATGGTGTTCTTCTTGAGGAGGTCTACATGCAACCTCCCCCTGGGTCTACTTATCCCCCTCATAAAGTCTGCAAACTTCAGCGTGCTCTGTATGGTCTCAAACAAGCTCCGCGCGCTTGGTTTGCCAAGTTCAGCTCCACTATTCATGACTGTGGTTTCACCTCCAGTTCTTATGATACTGCTCTTTTTATCCGCAACACTGCTCAAGGGACCACCTTGCTTCTCCTTTATGTGGATGATATGATTATCACTGGTGACGATTTTGATGGTATTGTATGCCTTAAACAGTTTCTTAGCTATCATTTCGAGATAAAAGATCTTGGTCCTCTCAGCTATTTCTTGGGTCTTGAAATCTTCCATGATTCCACGGGGACTTTTCTCTCTCAGGCTAAGTATACCTCTGATCTTCTCACCCACGCTGGTCTTACGAATTGCAAGACTGCCTCCACTCCCCTGGAGTCTCAGAGTCGTCTTACACCTCTTGATGGCACTCTTCTCTCTGATGCTACCCTATATCGTCAGCTGGTTGGCAGCCTTGTCTATCTCACTGTTAGTCGTCATGATATTGCCTATGCCGTTCATATTGTCAGCCAGTTTATGTCAGCTCCTCGTACCCCTCATTATGCCGCATTAGTTCGTATCCTTCGTTATCTCAAAGGTACCTTGTTTCATGGACTTCATTATTCTGCCAAATCCTCTCTCCAGCTTCGTGCCTTTTCCGATGCTGATTGGGCTGGGGATCCTACTGACCAGCGCTCTACTACCGGGTTCTGCTTTTTCTTGGGTGATTCTCTTATTTCTTGGCGCATCAAGAAACAATCTCTTACTGCTTGCTCCAGTACCGAGGCTGAATATCGTGCTCTTGCTGATACTACTCAGGAACTTCTCTGGCTTCGTTGGCTTCTTACTGACATAGGTGTTTCCCCCTCTGGTGCTACTGCCCTCTTTTGTGACAATCAAAGTGCTCTTCAAATTGCTCACAATGATATTTTTCATGATCACACCAAACACATTGAGATTGACTGTCATTTTATTCGTCAACACGTCACTCATGGTACTGTCCATCTCCATCCAATCTCCTCTGCTGATCAACCTGCTGATATCTTCACCAAAGCCCATTCTCCTGGTCGCTTCGTTGAACTTGTCTCCAAACTCAAGTTGGTTGATGTTTGTCCTCCTTGAGTTTGAGGGGGGCTGTTAACATATGCACATAATACTATATATGATAGTATATGAATATAATTGTTAAATACTATATATGATAGTATGTATAGATAGTTGTTAATATAATATGTTACCACTTATAGCATGTATATAATATAGAAAGATAGCTTTCGGTTGCTTTCGGTCGCCCACCATCTTTCGGCGTCCTTTTTCTTATTTTATTAAATTACATCATCATGATGTTTTGTATCCGAGCTCCTATATTATGGAGTCTCTATTTTGTTTCTGATATAGAGTTAATATAACAGAATTCTCTTTCAATATTACTCTCTCAACTCTCTCAATTTCTCTTTCAAAAACCATTTATATGCTGTCAAAATTTAAAGTTATTTTATTTTATTTTATTTGGTGGAAATGCAGATTCAAGCTTTGTACCACCATTGGTATATGCAATGTTAGGAAGTTCAAAAGATTTAGCAGTGGGTACAGTGGCAGTGGCATCACTTCTGATAGCTTCAATGTTAGGGAAGGAAGTTAATCCCAATCAGAACCCTAAGCTCTATGTTCAGTTAGCTCTCACTTCTACTTTCTTTGCTGGACTCTTTCAGGCTACTTTGGGCTTTTTAAGGTCAGCTCTTGAATTGAACAAAGACTTTTTCTCTGTCCTATTATTCTTGAAATTGGATTAAAACATGTGTGATTTTTTATGTATTCATGCATGCCTGCGCGTGTTGGTAAATTTCTTCTTAAAAGACTCATGTATGATATCACCATTTTTTATTTTATTTTTTTGAAATAAACATGAGTCTAGAATACCACATGATATTTTTATTTGTTTATTATTTTTTATTTTTATGTAAACATAGAACTTTTATTATTAAGTGGGCATACAATCAACATAGTTTTTTGAAATAATAAAATAATCAATTTTTTCAAACAACCTTCTCACCAGACTCATATAATAGGCATGAGATGCTCTAGGTCTCTCTATTTTTTCTATTATTCAACACTCTTCTCACCTCATTATCCGTAAAATTTTAATTAAAAATTAATGAATAAATTACACTTTTCATCCTCTAATTCTTAGTTACAAAGTCAAAAAATTCTAATAAAGTAAAAAAAAAAAAATCATTGAAAAAAGTCAAACATCACACTAACTCATGATTTTTTATACAACTAAAAAAAATTCTCAAGCACATTAATATTTTTCCACAATAAAAGTTAAAAAATACTAAAAAGGTCAATTCCCAAATGAGACCTTGGTTGTTGCAATTAAAAATAAAAAATTGAAGAGCAAAAGGTATAATTCATAATATATAAACCGATTTCTCATCATAAAGTAGTTTTCATGCAGAGATAATTTGGGGAATGACAAAATACAATAGATGTGGCGAAAAAGCAGTAGCATGTTAGATTTGGTTTTAATGATGTTTGGACGGTTGTGATTTAATTTTGTTTGGAATGGATGTCTTTTGATTTGATTTTCAGGCTTGGATTTATAGTGGACTTTCTGTCACATGCAACAATAGTGGGATTCATGGGTGGAGCTGCCACAGTTGTGTGTTTGCAGCAGCTTAAAGGGATTCTAGGGCTTGTTCATTTCACTCATGCCACTGATCTTGTTTCTGTCATGCAATCTATAATCACCCAAACACACCAGGTTCTCATTTTTAATCCTTCAAGTTAAACCCATTTTAAAAAAATCTCAAAAGTACAAAAAATGATAATAAAAACACTTATTTTTACGATAAATGAGTATAAAAAAAAATAATGTGCTATGAAAGTTATGTGTGTAACAAGTTTATCATTTTTTGGCTGATTTTAATCCAAAAAATTATGCGTATAAAAAAAAGTCACATAAATTTAATGTACAGTTTAGATTCATTTTAGTTGTAATCACTAATATACTAAGAATGAATGTGAATTATATATTAATTCTTTTGTATATCCTTTTATGCTTATTTTTTAATTAATGAAATATAGTTGTATTTGCAGTGGAGATGGGAAAGTGGAGTATTGGGCTGTTGTTTCCTCTTCCTTCTTACTCTCACTAGATATTTTGTAAGTACGTCCATACCCTTATGCATCTACTTGAATTTAAAAATAAATAAATAATAAATAATAAAGTAAAACCAACCATTGGTAAGAGGTTTAAGAGTAAATGGAACGAAAAGTAAGTATTAAATAATGTTTCTGCCAAACTTTCACCATTTACCCCAACAACAGTAACTAATATTTGACTCAAATTTCAATCACCAACAACAACAATAGTGACTTACCACAACAATAACATTTAACTTCAAAAATCTACTTCAAAAAATAGATCTAAACTATATTCTGTTTTTTTTTTTTCTTTTTTTCTTTTTTTTATCAACAAAAACATACTTTTTTTTTTTATATGAGATTACATCAATAACGAAGTGAAATGCAAAAAGTAACAAAGCAAAAACCATAATTCCAGCTAGGTTGGCACTAAGGAAAATATTCTATATGTGCTAGCAGATGATTTGGTGTGCATCTAGGTGCCAACTTAATTAGGATCTTGATGTTTCACTGTAATACTTTTTGTACCCTCCTCTTTATTAATGTATGTTATCATACTCTGTATGTTTTTTCATCAATAAAACTTCTTTTTTATTGATAAAAAAAAAAGAATATTCAACCATTTACTAGTACAACCAAAAAAAGTTGGTGAAAACCAACAACAGTAAAAAAGCGAACAAGAGACCAACAAACAATCAAAGACCTAAGCCTCAAAAAGGGCCACACCCAAAAATCAACCCAACAACAGCCACAACCAACCTCATGCCCATCTTTGAATTACTTACTAAATGACATTATCTATAATCTGCAACAAGTTAAATTCTGCATCAATAGTTAGTTGAGCAGTCTAAGTGGCTGTTCTAATTTTCTTTCATGTTGGATTCCATTTATCATCACTGAACCAATAGTATAATAATCCAAAGTAAAAATATATATTCCATTTATCATCACTGAACCAATAGTATAATAATCCAAAGTAAAAATATATATTTCTTGTTGGGGGTGGATTATCAAGTGTTTTTCTTTACAAAAATAATTTCTCACTGGATAATTTTTATCTTTTTTTTTTGGGGGGTGCCAATTTTACATGAATTTACATAACAAACAACATGTATACATGTAACCCCTACTATATCTAAAAAATGATAAACTTGTTTGGCAAATTATTTTAAAATTTAACAACAACCACAAAATTTAAAACACTCACTTTGCATGAAAACACTTTGAAATTCTTTTCCAAAATTTTGTATTTGCACAAAAATAAAAACAATATGAAGGTAATAAGTTTTTAATATCTTTTCATTGTTTTTGTTTATAAATAGAGTTTGTTGTGTGAATTCTATAGCAAGTAGGGTTGAAAATGGATCGGGCCTCAAAAATTTGTTTTACCAGACTCTATGGGTCTAAATTATAATCCTAAACTTTATGATTGATAAGCAAGATAGGATGGACTGAGTTCTTCCTATGATGTTTTTTACACCCATCATGTTTCCTTTCTTGATGTAATGAGTTGTTTGTTCATCAATAAAGGGTTTTTTTGCCGATCAAAAGAAAAAAAAAAAAAAAAAGGTTAGATAGAAGACCAACGATTTTCTTTATCTAAGCTTGACTATATAAAGTGCCGAAAAAAAAAAAAAAAAAAAAAAAAAAAAAAAAGATAGGACGGACTGAGAGGGTCATCGGGCTCATATCCACTCCTAGTAGTAGGTGAAAAAAATTCGTTGAAATCCATCTTGTAATAAATAGTAACCTTTCTTTTTAAAGATATTAAGTGGATAAAATGTTAATTGATGGTTGTTAATTGATTGAGTAGAGCAAGAGAAGGGCAGCATTCTTTTGGATAAATGCAATGGCGCCTCTAATGTCTATTATTTTGGGAAGCCTTCTTGTTTATCTCACCCACGCTGAAAAACATGGAGTTCAAGTGGTATTCTACTTCTCTCTCTCTCTCTCTCTCTCTCTCTCTCTCTCTCTCTCTCTCTCATTCATATGCATGTGTGTGTATATATGTCTATTAATGGTTGATTGTAAATGGTTCCTCCTCTAGATTGGGTATTTGAAGAAAGGGTTGAATCCACCATCGTTGTCTGAGTTGGCTTTTGGATCAGAGTATTTAATGACTACCATTAAAACTGGCATCATCACTGGTGTCATCGCTCTTGCTGTAAGTCTCACAACTTCTCAAACAAATAAAAACAAATAAACTAAACAGAGGATCAGACCCAAAAACAATTGATAAACAAAATTCTTTAAGAGTAAATTCCATCAACAATTTTATAAAATTTTAGTCATCCAAATATACCAATATTATGTGAACTTATCTAGATCGGCATTCAGCATGATGATGTGGTTATACTTGATGCAGGAAGGAATAGCAGTGGGGAGAAGTTTTGCAATGTTTAAGAATTACCATATTGATGGCAACAAAGAGATGATTGCCTTTGGTATGATGAATATTGCTGGTTCCTGCACTTCTTGCTACTTAACCTCAGGTACGCATATATATTCATATATCCAAAAATTTTACAAAATAATGGAGTTGAAACTCTTTAAAAACAAAAAAAAAAAAAAAGCGCCCTCACCAAGGGTTGCACCCTTAAAAGATTCTTATCTTTTGATAAAAAAATTTCCCAACCTCCTACTGAATTGTAGTTTCTCCAATAATTATCTATTCTACGAGGGCCTCATTTGTAAATTAAGCTGGTTGTGAAAGATTAGTTTGAGAGAGTGAGAGAAGCTATAGAGCGAGAGAGAGACTCTGAAATGTTTGTATATTGATTGATTTACAAAGAGAATGAAATCTCTCTTTATAGAGAGAAAATGGGCATTGGATACCACCATTACCACCGAAAGCAAAAGGTAAAGCTATACAATTAATAATATAAAGCTAAAGCTAGTCTAGTCTAACATAAAGCTATACAATTAATAATGATAAAGCTAAAACTATTCTAACAGCCCCCCGCAAACTCAAGGAGGGAAAGCATCAACCAAGTTGAGTTTGGAAACAAGATCATTGAAGCGGCCAGGAGGATGAGCCTTAGTGAAGATATCAGCGGGTTGATCGACTGAAGCAATAGGAAGAAGATGAACAGTTCCACAGGTGACATGCTGGCGAATAAAATGACAATCAATCTCAATATGTTTGGTGCGATCATGAAAAACATCATTGTGAGCAATCTGAATGGCACTATGATTGTCACAATAGAGAGGGGTAGGAGCAGATGAAGAAACACCCATATCAGCAAGGAGCCAGCGAAGCCAGAGAAGTTCCTGAGTAGTATCAGCAAGAGCTCGGTATTCAGCTTCGGTGCTAGAGCGGGCAGTGAGGGATTGTTTTTTGCTACGCCAAGTCATTATTGTACAGTTAGCTTTATCATTATTAGTTAGACTAGACTAGCTTTAGCTTTATATTATTAATTGTATAGCTTTTCTTTATCTTTTGCTTTCGGTGGAAATGGTGGTATCCAATGCCCATCTTCTCTCTATAAAGAGAGACTTCATTCTCTTTGAATACACAATCAATATACAAAACATTTCAGAGTCTCTCTCTCGCTCTATAGCTTCTCTCACTCTCTCAAAATAATCTTTCAAAACTAAACAGAGGATCAGACCCAAAAACAATTGATAAACAAAATTCTTTAAGAGTAAATTCCATCAACAATTTTATAAAATTTTAGTCATCCAAATATACCAATATTATGTGAACTTATCTAGATCAGCATTCAGCATGATGATGTGGTTATACTTGATGCAGGAAGGAATAGCAGTGGGGAGAAGTTTTGCAATGTTTAAGAATTACCATATTGATGGCAACAAAGAGATGATTGCCTTTGGTATGATGAATATTGCTGGTTCCTGCACTTCTTGCTACTTAACCTCAGGTACGCATATATATTCATATATCCAAAAATTTTACAAAATAATGGAGTTGAAACTCTTTAAAAACAAAAAAAAAAAAAAAGCGCCCTCACCAAGGGTTGCACCCTTAAAAGATTCTTATCTTTTGATAAAAAAATTTCCCAACCTCCTACTGAATTGTAGTTTCTCCAATAATTATCTATTCTATGAGGGCCTCATTTGTAAATTAAGCTGGTTGAACCAAACCACCCTGACCCAAAACTTGAGCTTGGGTTGGGTTGGAATGATTGGTTTAGAATCTAGTTTAAGGGTACATCATCCTACCATCCTAATTTCGTACTTCAAAATTGTTACTACATTATGAGTACATTGAATATGGAAAAACATGATTTCATGTGTGACAGAGGAGCTCTAGCCCTAGTCTTAAGTGTTTTTTATTCTTGTATATATGTTTCTTTACTAATTAATTTCTTTTTGTGGGTATAAATTCAATTGAATTCCAAATCTTTTCAGGACCATTTTCAAGGACAGCAGTGAATTTCAACGCAGGAGGCAAGACAGCAGTGTCAAATATAGTGATGGCAACAGCAGTAATGATAACACTGTTGTTCCTTACACCACTATTCTATTACACTCCGCTTGTTGTGCTTTCCTCCATTATTATTGCAGCCATGCTTGGCCTCATCGATTACGAAGCCGCCATCCACCTTTGGAAGGTTGACAAGTTCGACTTCGTCGTCTGCATTAGCTCCTACCTCGGTGTTGTCTTTGGTAGTGTTGAGATTGGCTTAGTTATTGCGGTATGTATATCTCAATCCAACATGCATTTGTCTCGTATTTTTTAATGTTTGGTATGGAAATGAGTTGATTTTCACAAAAAAATCATTTTTGTTTTTTTAACACAAAAAACGCTTTCCAAAGCTAACGATACATTCCAAATCTTACCAAACGCCGTCACAATTGTTGCTACCAACACTATCATTTTTAGGGTCACAACCAGTAATAGAGCCAAGATTTTCGCGGAAGGAGATAGAACTAAGGCAAAAGGTCAATACAGTCCAATTTGATTTAATTTAGTCTAGTTATATTTGTGCCAAAAAAAGCATAATTTACTTTTCATAGTATATAGATTCAAAAAAATAAAATAAACTAATTAATCCAGTCAATCTGAGGTAATTTTCATATGAGATTTCATAATAATAACAATAATAATAAGTAAATTGTGGGGTTTTATTGAAAAAAAAAAAAACTAAGGGCATATTAGAAGATATTTTGAAAATCATTGTATAAATGGCAATTTTTTGGGAAGTTAAAAGGGGGCATCTCTGTTTTTTTATTTATTTATGGAATCCGTATTGTTGTGTGATCATTTGGGCTCATTTTCAGTTCTATTTTAATAATTTAAATCATTCACTTTTTAGAATATATCGAGTATAATTTATTGTAAAAAAATCAAATTGATTGGATATCGATAGTCCTTATCACAATTAAATACAAGAAAATATATATTGTGTAAGATATTTTTTAAAAAATATTTTTCTTTTGCCAAAACAAAAGGAATGCTAATTTGCATGTTTTTTATTGCTATATAGTTCATTGATTTTTTTAATACTGAAATTTCAGGTAGTGATATCTTTGCTTCGGGTGGTGATATTCGTAGCAAGGCCAAGGACTTGTGTTTTGGGAAACATTCCAAAAACCATCACTTACAGAAGCATTGATCAGTACCCACTTGCTAACAGAGTTGCTGGAATTCTCATCCTTCAGATCGATGCTCCTATTTACTTTGCCAACGCAAACTACTTAAGAGAAAGGTACCTAATTGATTTTGTTTTAGTTTTCTGTTTTCTAATTTTCTACGTTTTAGAAGGACTAATCTAGTACAGTTCGACTCATGAAACCCTCATCTGTAGATCAATCACAAAAAAAATTAAAAATTAAAAATCATATTGATTCGGCAATCATAGTCACCAAATTTTATCATATTTTCCAAGTCTTCAGAGAATGGATGGTGAGCTTTTTTATTATTATTATAAATGAATCGTTTAGATTATTATAACAAGATCTGTAGTGGACTCTATGAGCTCAACTGCACAGTGCAATTCACACAAGTGGATTCTTTAAGAAAACACAACTTTTTTAGTAAACTATTTCCAAAAACTATTTTGAGAAAATTTTCAAAAAACAACTCACATTTTAGGACACTCTATTGAAATTTGTTTTTGCCAAGGAAAAAAAACTACGAATTTTTTTGTTTTTTCAATATTTTATTTTGAAAAACGCAAAACCAAAAAAACAAAAATATAGCCTAATAAATAGAATGTTAACAAGGTTTAACTGACACACTAAGCATGAATTATGGATCTCATTTTGGTTGTTATGTTGTTCTTAGGATCTCAAGATGGATCGATGACGAGGAAGACAAGCTAAAATCTTCTGAAAAAATTGGGTTACAATATGTTATATTAGATATGAGTGGTAAGCAATCAGTCACAAATCCACAATCCTATCTCTCTTTCTCTTTCTCACCAAATACATATATTAGATTTGAGTGACAAGCAATCAATAAGAAACACATTAATCAATCTTTTAATAGATGAGACGTCTACTTATCAAGAAAACTCATTCGAATCACTGTTGCACAATACAACTTTCTCTTTAACCGATTGTAGATGTACATATATCCAAGTCTTGCTAATAAGAAACCAATTATAATGCAGCTGTAGGTAGCATAGACACAAGTGGAATTAGCGTGCTTGAAGAAGTCAAGAGAAACATTGATACAAGAGGTCTCAAGGTACAAACTTTTCATTCTTGCTATATTGATTTTATTCATTTCCACATAACTATCAAAAGTCTAAATAGTTATACCATTGATGTTTAGCTTGTACTAGCAAACCCTAGAAGTGAGGTGATGAAGAAGCTGGACAAGTCAAAGTTCATCGAAGCGATTGGTCAAGAGTGGATCTATCTGACAGTTGCAGAGGCTGTAGGAGCTTGCAACTTCATGCTTCACTCATGCAAGCCAAACTCCAAAGCAGTTGATGAATCAACTGAGAATGATAACAATGTATGATCAAAGATCAATAAAAGGGCTAATCAGATGGTTGAAATTACAAGACAAGGATGGGTAACTACACTTCTGCTACTGATATTAATTGAAATTTCAAAGAATAATAATTGGGTTTTTTTTTTTCCCCAAGCTTATGTATTTATGTAGAACTTGAGACTTCTGGAAAGCTGAAATGCAATCATGTTTGAAATTTTGTGGCACAGTGGTTTTTTGGTGGTATGTCAGTGGTTAATCCATTTGGAACAACAGAAAATGGGAGAGAAATGGAAAAAACTATGTACAAGGGATTTCCTTTTTCATTTGAAAAAACAGACAAGGAAAAGAAAATATGAAGGGAGAAAAGAAAATTCTCTTTCAAAGACCCCTTTTCAAGAAAATATGAATTTTGAGTACAAAGAACCTCGTGTCTGATCACGGGCCTTGTATGCAAGCATTGCCACTCGAATTACTTTGCTGATAAATGTGATGGAACAAAAACTAAGTTGCAATAATACAAAAAGGTCCTACACTTCCTCAATTGCATACTGGAAAGCAGCAACTTTTCTAGGGGAATCATAATTTTCAGTATCACAATCCATGCCTTTTTCACAACTTGGATGTATGGTAAGCATCTACGCCAAAGAAAAAGAAAAAGGAAAAAAAAAATCTTGAGTATATCAGATCAGCACGTGGAGAACCGGCAACAGGAACCACCACATTACTTTCACAACTGCATCACCATTTACAGTACATGAAGACCATAACACAAGTTTTGAAACACCACAAAATGCAATCACTTCTTTTTAAATAAATAAAAAAACAAGCAAACAAACAAAAACTTTCCAAAACCCTCAAGACAAGCTCAATGACAGACCTCGAAGTATTCTCTTGCTCGCATTTCATGTGACCATGCAGGAAATGTGAAGCTGGCTCTCCACTAAAACTTGGGCACCATGCACTCTATCCCCGTTCCAAATAACAGGCCTCCCATTTTAGCTTGCCAGTGATGGTCCTATGACGGATTCCAAACCAAGATAAAGAGGCAACTGAAATTGGACTAGGATTGCTTGAATAGACAAGGAAGCAATTCATGTGCACTTATGTCCACAACCACTGGATCCCTGGGGAAAAGGCTATGTAATATCAAACTGTGTATCACTGTAAATGTCGTAAACTATTTACATGATATGAGGCATAAGAACATGCATAGCCAGCCTACTCTACAGGATTTTCAAATATTAGAAAGAAAAATAAAATAAAATTGACTCGGTCATCCCAGAGTTGTGAAACATGTTCGAAACAAGTATCAATCTTTTCCCTTTTTTGTTACTAAGAACGAGTATTATACTTATGTAGCCACAGACATCTTTATGACGTATTTCTACAATCATTCCCTAGTATACTAATATACTTTCCCATTTTCTCCTAATACAGAAGCCCACAACTAAATTTGGAGAAGAACAAAAATAAGAATGCAGCACCCCCGAAAAGAAAAAAAAAATATAGTGTTTTGATTTGTTGAAAGATTTTGGGTAAACCAAACACTGCATAACAGAATTCACTGCCATAAAGTGGTCAGTTAATAATTGACTCCCCCTCATAGTCTCTGATGTAAGATAAGCATGTTGCCCTAAAACCATTGGAATTGAGACATATGCCACCGGTACGCGATCAATTCAACAGTTAAATATTGATTCATCAATGTTAATCAGCTTATGAAATAAGCATGTCGCAGTAAAAACATTACAATTGAGATAATCTTATCATACCTTCTGTACTAACCTTAACAACCTTTTAAGCTAGAAATATATCTTATCCCATGCCGTGATGATTTTAATGTGCGTGTGAGCTTATGAATGCATGTGGATGCATGCTCTGTGTGTGTGTGTGTGTGTGTGTGAGAGAGAGAGAGAGAGAGAGAGAGACCTGCACAATATTTGCCCCTTCTCAGTGGAACTGGGAACAAACCACAATTTTCGGGATAAAGTTGATTCAAATTGAACGAAGAATCCATCATTTTGTCCATGCTTCCATTTCCTTGATCCCTGACCTTTCCAGACCTGCAAAACAAAATGGCATATAATTTACAGTTAATAATCTTCACAAACTAGCCCACACACACACATATATGTATATATATATATATTTGATAACTAGGTGTCCAAGCCAACTAACGCACACCTCGACTAATCCCAGGACCCTGAAGTTAACGACCGGGCAAACCACATTTAATTTGCATTCATCCTTATATATCAAATTACTTTTGATAGGATTGCCTATAGAGGAAAATGCAAATAGGTTATAAGTTACCTGTGGGTAAGATATAATACTCTTGGGTGCCACTAAGCAAGCCGCGTGAGAGAAAGAATCATCAGCATACTGCCTAAGAAAGTCAAAACAACTGCCGTGTGTATGGGGTGATTCAAATGCCTGGCATGATCAAAGAATTAAATTTGTTGTCATATAATCTGAGATTATGTCATTGAAGCAAGAAGCTCTAAACAAGCAAATACTTTGTTTGATTCAGAATAACAAATGAACAAGGAAAAAATTCTAAAAACTGTATAAACACTGAAAATGAACATTTGAAAAAAGAACTACCTACCTTATCAATATTGACAACCGGGGCATATTTATCATTATCTGTCTTTTCCTTATCAAGAAGAAAATAAACTCTAGCATCCACTTTAGAAGTTTCATGCCATGATTTTACAGCTGCCTCCATTGTTTCAACAAGGAAAGAGAAAATTTCTTTCCAACTTTCTTCAGCTCCATACTTCTCGGACTGCAAAAAAAGGAGATTAAATTAATTCCCTCTGTGGGAATTCTTCAATATAAGATGGTTCTTTAAGGCTCTTATAGTTAAGCTGAAACATTAGAAAGAAAACTCTTACACCTCTTAATGATAAAAGCAGGAAAGACGGAGCAATCAAAAAGAATTAAATGGAACAAACTGAGAGAATATCTCCTAGACGCATAAATATATATACACACACATAACAATTTATTCAGATAAAAATAGGAATCATTACTTAAAACTACTCACCAGTTCAGATTTCAAGACATCCAAGTGCTTTGCCATATCAATGTTGGATCTCATGCTTTCCACTTCTTCAGCTCGTTTTTTATCTTTCGCCAGCTGTGCAAGCCTCTTTATTTTTTTTGACACCTCTGAACTTTGCGGATTGTACTGCAAAGCTATTTGAAAGGAAGCTAAGGCCTACATTATGTAAGCAGTAGAGATATCAGCATTGGAATATTTGTTCTCGGAAAGAGGCTATGAAACATGATTGAAGAACTTGTATGCTTACGTCATCATATCGTTCCATTGCCTCTAATACACACCCTTTCCTGAAATAGCCCTGCAAGTGCAATCAGTGGCATCTCTTACTTAAAACTCGAGAAAACGAAGCAGAATGTAATAAAGAAGTCATGTACCTTTTCCCAGGCAGGGTTCAAAGTGATTGTAGTCTCAGCATCTGCAAGTGCTTTGCTGAGCTTAACCAGATTCAGAAATGCCGCAGCACGATTGCTGAAAAATAAATTGTTAAATTTGATGTATAGAGAAATGGAGAGAATGAATTATGTATTAGTATTATTGATTGATTGTATTGATATCTATTACAATGATTCATGATTCCTATATATAGAAGAGGGTGAGTGTGTAGTAGGTGAGGAGTAGGTGGAGAGTAGGTGAAGTAGGTGAGTGTGTAGTAGGTGGTAGTGGTAGGTGTGTAGTAGGTGGATTTTAACATAAATAAATAAATAAATAACAGAACAGAACAGACATGTGAAGAAGAAATATTAGACATAATACAAAATGTATATATGGTTATAATTACACATATCGAGATGAAAACACATGTTCAAAACACAACAGAAGCTTAATAAGTACAAGAATTTAAGGCAAACTGTGGTTTTAAGTACAGGGATAAATGTGGGAATTCGTATAATTATAAAGACATTTTTGCCCCTGATGAGCTTCTTTTGTAACACATGTAATGTGTGGTAGTGGAGTGTAATTTTCACCATTGAGGTGGGTAATTGGATTAGATAATTTTTTAATTTTAAAATAAAATAAAATAAAATAAAAGTGTCCAAATCAACTATTATGAGTTATGTCTTTCAATTAATTGCACTAGATGAAGACCAAAGAACCCCAACTCATATACCAAGAGAATAAGAAGAGGAATGCCGGGCAAAGGCCAACCAAAAACCCGAACAGATATACACAAATTAATTGACATAAGACATAATTGATTAAATGGACAATTGCAATAATGACAAAATTAATTGCCTAGGTGATGCTTATTCCTATCATGCTACTGGTCACCTGAATCTACCACTGTAAATTTGTGAGTATTTAGAACTCAAAAATGAAAAATGACAACCAAGTAAAACATTTATCAAAAAGAAAGAAGAAAAAGGCGAGTTATATACATACAGATATGTATACATATATATTAGAGAGAGAGAGAGAGATTTGAAGCTTCTCTACTTTATCTTTTTTCTTTTCTCTTCCTTTTTTTTTTTTGTGTGTGTGTGTCGCGGGGTGGGGGGGTGTGTGATTGTGATTCTATGAGAGAATGGAATGGTCATCCCCTCCCTCATGGAGTGGTATGATCATTCCAAATTATAGACATTTTCCATACCAAACATGGGAAAGGGAATGCAAAGTCAAAATAGTCATTCCATTTCAGCTCATTCATGTGTACCAAAAACGGCCTAGTAAATTCTACTTTCCTCTCTTTTAGAATTCTAATTCCCAAGTTCCTGACCTTAGAAACTTTCCATATCTAAAAACCACCACAATTCCAACTGAAAGCAGCCACCAACTAATTTCCTAAGCTATCCTACATCAACTACTCAATCCATAAGTATCTGGGCCACAAATCTTTCTACAATTCCAAACAATAGAACATAAGTTGTCTCGAGGCTTTAATCAAGTTTGTACATATTCATATCACACTTAGGTCCCGTTTGTTTGGAGTTATAGGGAGGGGATTGGGATTGATAGTGAGGTAGGACTACTAACAATATTAGTCCCCAAAGCTAGGAACTTCACAAGTATTTTAAACACAACAAAACCACCATCAAAATTTCCCCAATCATCTTATTGAAAATCCAATACAATGCTCCCTCCAACTCACTTCCCCAAACCAACCCTCTTAGGAGGTCACTTTCCTACGCTTTCTCAGCAACCAAACAGTGGAAAAACAAAATTCATTTGAGTGAATCCACATTTTGAGTTAACCCACACAAAATCACACCATTACAAACAGTGGAAAAACAAAACTCTTTCAAAAAATTAAGACAAACCCATTTGAGTGAATCCACATTTTGAGTTAACCCACACAAAATCACACCATTACAAATACAAAGAAGAAAGAATTGAACACTTGGAACTACAGAATTGGAGGTTAGTATGTATAAACACACTAACAAACATAAACCCACTATATATACAAGTACATATATGTATATATATATATATATATATATGTGTGTAGATACCTGTAAAGGGTAGGGTTAGAAGGGTCTTGCTTAATGGCCTGAGTGTAGAGAGCAGCGGCTTTGAGATAATTTCCAGCTTTGAAGAATTCATTGCCTTGATCTTTCAATGACGACTCTGATTTTGCTTTTGATTCCGCCATTTTCGTTGCGTTTTTTGGGTGATTTTGGGATTAGGGTACGGGGTTTTTGGTGTTAGGGTTTCTTTCTGCCAGTGAAGAGCCCCTGTGCCGGTTATGCTGTCAAAAAAAACTTAAGGGAAATGACAAGACAGGGGTAGTAGGTAAAAAAAATTTACAGAATCTTAAAACCGTATAATATTTTAATTATTAAAATTTGTAAATTTATTATTATTAATTTATAATTTTATTTTCACCAACACGCTGGACTATTTTGAAAATATGATTATGATCAATTTTTTATGAGAGACAAAAGTGAGTTATAATATAGAAAATGGATTATAGCCTACTTCTCAAAATACCTCACTGTTAGGGGTGTGCGCGGTGTGGGTCAGTGCGGTTTGAGAAAAAAATAGAAACTGTATGACGGGTGGCGGATTGATAAAAGTGTCACTAGAATTTGTCATTTTCCTTATCAAAAACTGACGGTTCGATTGGCAAATAATTATGGATTTGCCTTGGCGGTTTGGGCGGATTAGCGGTTTATAAAAAATATAATTCAAATTATAAGACTTAAATCAAAGAGTAAAAAAAAGACGAGAGATACCATGATATTAAGTATCTTGCGAAACTTTCTTCTGATGCAGCAAATGTAGCAACAACATGATAATATCAACAACTATGTCATCAGTTCATTACAAGCATCTGTGGAAGCTACAATGATCAAATACAATACATAAAATTAATATCATTCAAGGTTTACAATATATTGAAAATGTTTACTGTTGAAAAGTATTTAGATTGAAAAGTGAGCTGATACAAGTTTGCAACATGGCCAGAAAAAAAAAAAATTTGAAAAGTGAATTGGAATTCAACTTTATTTTGGATTACTGACATCTTGAATTCCCCTCGAGCAGTAATGTAATACTATATTCTAAGGTATAAAACAACAAGCAAACTTAAGTAACAAAGAATAAAATATGATTTAATAGCGGTGCGGGTCGGTGCGGTTTAGAAGAAAAATAGAAACTGGCGGATTGATAAAAGTATCACTAGAATTTGTCATTTTTCTTACCAAAAATCAGTGGTTCGATTGGCAAATAATAACGAATTTACCTTGGCGGTATGGTTCGGTGCGATTTCGACGGTATTATGCACACCCCTACTCACTGTGTTGTTATTCTCCTTTAAAAAAAAATTAAATAAAATTCCAGTTCATGGGTTGAGTCATTCGGACTGATGGATGGGTCGGATTTTGACGCTATTCTTGGTGGCTCTGACCTAACTTGTTATTTTTTATTTGAAAAATGTTTGGTGGCCACAAATTCTGTGGCTCAAATAGTCCGAAATTGTCAAAACGACGTCGTTTTGACTTCTTTTACACCTAAAATGACGTCATTTTGGCAATTTCGGGCCATTTGAGCCACAAAATTTGTGGCCCCCTAGCATTGCTGTTTTTTATTTTTCGGGTAGACATAAGAACTACAAGGGAAGGAGTTATTACCACCAAATTTTAAGGCTTCGTTGCTAAGAATTTTTTTAATTATTTTTTTCAAATTAAATTTTTTTTGTTTAAGATGAATTTTTAATTTTTTTATAATTTTGTGAAAGAAAAAGTAAATTGATTATAAATTGGATATGATATTTTGTCTTATTGATTTTTTTAACTTATTTAGTTTTATAGGCTTCATTTGAGAATATGCTATTTTAGTAACTTTTTGACTTTTTACGAAAAGATGTATAGAAAAGTAGAGAGAGTGATATGATAACTTATAGCAACTTTTTGACTTTTTAACTAAAATATATAGTTGACAAACGAGGCCTTAGGCATTAGTCTCAACAATCTTGTCAAATGAAGACTAAGGCCTCGTTTGGCATGCAACATTTTTAGCATAAAAGTAAAAAAAATTACAAAAAAAAATCAAAAAACCTATGACTTATATCAAAAAGTCAAACATTATCTTTTTTCTCTATTTTTTAATTTTTTCGTAAAAAATCAAAAAGTCATTCCAAACATACTAATTTTTTTACTTCATATTTTAGTAAAAAATTAAAAAATTACTAAAATAGTATATTCCCAAACGAGACCTAAATATATGTGAGATGAAAAATTAATTTGGAGGAAGCTTTGGACACTATTTGTGAATAAATAAAATAAAATAAAATAAAAATTAGAAATAAGTTTACTAACAGTTAAGAGAAAGTTGAATGAAACAAAATGATCATTCTCATTCCATAATTTGCGTACTAACCTAGAATGACATTTGAATAAAATGATCATTTTCATTCTCATATTTGATTATACTTATTAAATTAATGGGATAAAAGAAATTTTTTAATTATTTTTTTATCACATTTTGTGGAAGTAGTGTGAGAGTAATGATGACAATGATGGTAAAATCAATGGTGGTTGTAAGTTAGTATAGTGTGGTGATAGCAGTGGTGATCACCTACGACTGTGATAGTAATGGTAATTGGTGGTAATGGCGATAGTAAGGTTGTGATGGTGACTATGGTGATGGTAACAATTGTAACAAGTGACAAAAAAGTCCAAATTCATTTAGCATTACTTTTATTTACGACAAATTTAGAGAGTTTCCAATTGCACCATAAAACTATGTATACTCTTACTAAAAAATATTTGCTTGTTTTTCTTTTGTTTTTAAATTACCATCTACAAAAAAACATAAATGTCATTAAAATGACCTCTCTCACCCACTTTCATACCCTTTCTCACTACATCCTTCCATCTCCACTTTATCACACCTTTCTCTACCTCGTTATTACTCCTACACTCTTCTTAAGATCTTTGTTTTCTCTCCATCTTGTGGCCTCTCTCTCATAAATACACATCTATCTATGATTTTTGTGATGCCTATGGGTTCAAAGGAAATGTAATGGTAAGGCCTAAGGAGAAGTTATAGAAGAAAAGAGGCAATGGGGACGGAAAGGGGGCAATAAGACACGTTGGATGAGAAATGAAGAAGGGTAGTAGCGACAAAGTAGGAAGGAGAATACAAAAGGTGGTAAGAGATGAAAGAGAGAGGCAATCAGCAATCATTGTGATAATATGTAATAGAAATAGCGTAAAGAATTGATTATGTGAGTAAATTTGGAATTACTTGAGTGTCATTAAACATTAAAGTTTCTTAATTTGTAGAGTAAGTGTAAAAAGGAAGTGATTGTAATTGCTTGTTTGGGCCGAGTTTTTTTAATGACTTTTTTGAGTAAAAAAAATCCAAACTTTTTGTTTTATATCTAACTTGGTTTTTTAGGTGAAAAAGCCATTGTTTTAGATTATTTTGCTGACATTATTTGATTTATCCATTTTTGCCAATCACAAATGTGAGAATATCATTTACATGATAATAAGAATAGTATAATTCATAGAGAATTGAATAAAATGTAGTTTATTTGTAACGTCCTGAAATATTAACAACTCATAACATGATCTTCTGTAGAAAGTATACTTTAACATTTCATTAGTACTCCTTAATCGTACCAAAGATGACATATGTGTGTATATATTCATAAATCTTAGATCCTGAATCTATAGCATATGCCAATTATCAATGAACCTAAACAAATGACGTACATATAAGTTTATGTCCTAATGGTTACATCTTTCCAAGTCAATGTTTAAATACAACAAAAGTGAGTTAAACTCAATACAAATAAAGCCTAAGACTTATACAAAAATAATTACACAAAAGAAATAAAAAGAAACTTTCGGCTCCAAGTCTTCCAAAACTATGTCATTGGTGGAGGCACATCATCAATACCTGAAAATTGTTTTTCACATAAGGTGAGCTCAAACCCAGTAGAGATACTTTAACACAATGTATAAAACTTAACGAAGTCATAAGGTGAATACATATGCATGCCATTTGCCAAACATTTTACATTTCCATCTCAAAGCAATGCAATGCCAATATTATATATCAGTTCGTGAGAAATATATTTTTATATCAGAAAATAGGACAGTGGATACAAAATACTGGGAATCTCAAAGTACGTGTTTGCCAATAGGCTATACAAGCACTACTAAAGCCGTTTTACCGGTACCAATTGGAAAGACCGGCACCTAACCGCGTAGGTTTCTGGACTTTCACTAAGGACACGCAGGCCAACATAATAAACCACAACCACACCCCTAACCAGATTCACCAAGGTATATACTTCTTTTCTCAAAACAATACATTTTCAATGTTTAAGTATGAAACAATGCTCAATGCAAGATGTATGAGTAATTAGTTTCAATTTACCTAATCCTCATATAATTTCTACAAAAATCAAAACTATCATCTACTGATAGCCCAAAATAGATATTTCTACTCATTAGATAATTTTCCAACAACAAATACAATCTCATAATTTTCAAAATGGGAGCGATAATACATATCCAACTCCACTCTTATCATCAATAGATACATTCTTCTTATCTTTTCAAACCCAACATCTTTTCTTTTTCTTTCATAAATCAAACATCATTGATTTTCAAACAAAACCTCCTTTACTTTCAAAATCACATTTAAGGAAAGAAAATTCTAACATTTCAACACAACCCAACAATACACATACTCCCATAACCTCTCTTAAGAAGTTATTTGAAAAACTTCTCTTTTACGTTTCAAAATCAAACCCTAAATTTAACCCAAAATCCCCAAATCACTAAACCTTTTTAAAGAGAAAATAACTAAGTTAAGAATCATATCAAAGGTTGAAGAAATCGCTACTTTAAGAGTAGAAGAGGAAGAAAACAAAGGTTGAAGTTTAATAAGACTGAAAACGAGATTCTCTCCGATTCAAATGAAACTTTTGACGAGCTTTACCTTTTTCTCCAATAAACTATGATGGAGAAATTAATGGATTATGGAGTATTTGGGTTTTAAGGCAAGAACTAGATAGAGATAGTGAATAAATTAGGATTTTGAGTGTTTTAGAGAGATAAATGAAGTGAAAAAATGGCAAAAATTCATTTTTTTCCAAACTGATATACGCACAAACCGCTCAAGCGACCAAACCATTGCTCGAGCATCTGACACAATAAGCGACACCACTCGAGGAACCAAAAGCACTGCTCAAGCATACAATGACCCCCTCCCAGAAGTTTAGACCTGCAAAAGACCACTTGAGCGAAGATTATCCATTCCCAAAAGTTTTACAGGTCTGCAAAAATATTGAGAGGTCTAAAAGACTACTCGAGCGATCAAGGCATCGCTCAATCGAACCCGAAGTGAAATAGATGACATCTCTTTTGAAAAACTAGCTCCCAACCTGTTTCAAATACAACCAACAACTCAACTCAACTATTAACAAGATGATAAAGGGCATAAACAATAATTAAAGGTATGGAATCCCATATCGAAGAGTATGGAAAGGGTCAGGTCTAAACCGGAACTGTTATATTATTTAAAGTTAAAAGATGTAAAAATTAAATTCTTAGATAATAAACATGAGTTTGAAAAAAAAAAAAAAAAAACTTCGAAATTTTTAGAAAATTTAAATTATACAAATTGAATAATATTTTTTTAACTCAAAATTTTCACTTATGATTTTCACATCATTTATGCAGTTTATTAGAACTTTTATAACTTACTTTATTTTACAAATTTATGTAAATGTCTCAATGCAATTTATGTTTATTATTGATAAGACAAAAACATTTAAATAAATTAAAATGTTTGATTATCTAAAAACAAAAGTGTGTGCTTTTATTTTTCATTTTTAATTATAAATTTCAATTGAAAAAAAAACTAAACCATATTGAAGTTTTATGAGTGGACTTCATTTTTTTTTTAAAAGGCCACGAACTAAGCATTTTATAATTTTTTATGGTGTAATTGGCTATAGGGTATTAACCAAAAAAAAAAAAAACTGTGGAACCGAACCAATCTGATCCAAATCATTGGTTTAATTCGTTTTTTGTTAGCTTTACTTATTATTTCTTTGCTAGCTTTAGTTATGATTTTCAATTTCAAAAATGGTTAAAAAGTTCAAATTAATATTTTTTTAATGTAAAAATAAGAATATAAAAAGTTACTAATGAAATTTAAACGCTAGTCTTGATTATGAAATTGATAAACTCTAATAAACTTAACTAATACAATTGTTAATGATATCTTTACTATTATAAAAGAAAAATTATTGATACACCAAATTTGAGCCCGTTTAAATTGCTTACATTTTGTAAGCCGGACAATTAGTGCAACCCTTATCAACCGTGGCTGCCATCCTTATTCTCAGACAACCGGCTAGACGACCGGTATGCATAAATTAGGGCAATTCAAATGAGCCAAAATTCAATGGATGTAACATTGCTCATTATAAAATATATCATACTATTTATAATATAAAATTTATTAAAATCATAAAATCGAACCAAATCAAACTGGTTTCTATAGCTTGGTTCTTGTCCAATTAATAGTTTAATAACGGTTCTAATTTTTCTCGAACTATAAAGACCAACTTGATTCCTAACTTATTGATGTAGAACAAGTAGTGAAGGAATTATTGGAATAATTAGACCAGAAAAAGGCAAGGAAGAAACCAAATTGAGGATAATAATGTCACTTTTGTGACAAGCTCGGAATTATCTCAAATTTGATAGTCTAATCAGAAATGACATTTTAAATCAAAGTCATTGACGTCCTAGTAATGTTGAGCGGTGGATTTTTGCCAAATTATTTCGTTTAGGCCCTCACATTAGTGATTTTGCCGTTTTAAAAAAGTTTCATTTTAAAAATAACTTTATTTTGAGAAGCCCGTTTTTAGTTTTATTTGTTTTGATGCGTTTCTATTATTTTCTAGTATCCAAATTGGACTTAACTCAAATATTTTATTTTTGGTAATTTTCTATTTATTGTCGTGTCTAAAAAGAAATCAGATTCCTTATTTAGTTAGAGTTTAGTTCATTATAAATAAGGATTGTACGAGCACAAAATAATCTTCTCGTATAATTCTGTTGATTAAGTTTGCACTCTTCCAAACGTGTCGCTTTGCTACCTGAAAACACAAACGTGAGCTAGCCGGCGGGTGTGTGCTAGAAACCCCTCCGATGCCTAAGTCAGCAACTAGACAATAGATAATAAGCTCTGTGTATTTTATAGTAAGAATTAGGATACCTCTACATAAGACCTATCATGAGCTTTTATAGATTTCGCCTGGCACAATCCAAGTAGGACTCAAACTCTTTTTAACAGAGTCCTCCTAAGGCTCTCATGCTCAGGGATAATGTTTATCCTCATAACACCTTTATCACTGCTAGCCAAGTGAGATGGCCACACTCTTCACCTCGGTTGACACTTTAGTCAACCGAGCATCCTAGGCTCTGTGCTACTCTGGGTAGTCATGGTAGCTATTAGTTCAAGAGGGCCCAATGCCGAGCTACACTCAGCTCGGCCTTCTTCCTTGTTAACACCTCGGTCCGCCTCAGGACCTAGCTCTGGACAGCGCGACTTAGGCCCTGGAAGCGCCTTTTTCTAGCTTGATGCCTGGATGACCCAGGACCGGGATATTGTAGCTCTCATTTCGGCCCATAGCTCGGTCAAAACGTCTAAGGATGATGGACTTAGCTCGGCCCAATTTATTCACATAAATTACCCTCTCAAGGATGTATGCCTTAGGATAAATCAAGTTTCATTTAATATAATTATATTTCTCTTTGAGAATTCTCTCTTTTTTGTAGATTCAAGGTGATATTCGTCTGTTAGAATAACATCTAGTCGCGTCACTTATTCTAAAATCAAAACTAAGGATGTAAAAAAGGCTAGCTTGGCCCGACCTAGGCTTACTTAGTCTTTCACCAAAATCAACCAGTCCCAATTTGACCTTTCTAATAATGCAGGCCCAGGCCCAAGTCCTAGGGCAATACGGATTCAGACCAAGTTTTTGGCTTGGGTTTAGACTGGACTTTTTTTAAAATATTTTTTATTTTATTTTCACCAAGTTAAATACACAACGAAAACAAAACAACCGTTGGACATTGGACGCCTAGCCTTAGGTGGGCTGAGCCTTGAGTCGGCCATTGGACAAATTGGGCTTAGAAATACATGGCCCAAGCCTAAGCTCGAGGGTCTTAGGCTAGCCTGAGTGGATTGAGCGAGCTTCGATTGATTTGATGGGATTTTTACACCCCTAATCAAAACAATCCATGTGGGAAAAGACTTAACAGTCCCTTAGGCCTCGTTTGATTATCCAGATTGGATATAAGAGTTTTAGGAAGATATGTAACACTTAAGGATAAAGATGAGATATAATATGTTGTAAGATATAAGATGGATTATATATATTGTGGGATTATTTATACTATATTTGGTCAAGACAGAATATAAGATGAGATAAGAGAAGAGTAATTATTTTTGATATTTAGATAAAAAATAAACTATATCTGACGATAAGTGATATAGTATATCATAAGAGATGATATTACATATCTCCTTGTACATTATATACTATTCGAAGTCTCTCCGTCCGAAATAACCAAGTACAAGATATAGAGAATTTAAAAAAAAACACATATAAAGCGGACCTTATATTTATTTGGCCTTACACCCATAATCCCGCCTTTATGGTCGATAAACAAACCGGGCCTTTAGGTACAACAATATGAGGCGTAGAGTCCGGAAATGTGGGACCTATATAAACCAACAAGCGAAGTCTAGGGTTTTGAGGATTGAAAACACAGTTCGCCCAAGAGAACGAGCCGTTGCTGAGCTCGTAGTTTACTCTCTCTACCTCTCCAGAGACCAATTCACCTCCCTCGACAATGGCCGTCGGGTACTCTCCCTCTCTCTCTCTCTCTCTCTCTCTACATATACATACATATATTAGGTATATACACATCCATTTTCACAGCTACTGATCTATACATTTTTGTATATCACAGAAAGAACAAGAGGATTTCCAAGGGCAAGAAGGGTGGAAAGAAGAAAGCGTGAGTATCCAAAACCTAAATTCTCATATATATATATATATATATATGTATATAAAGATAATATTTTTGTATGTATGTACACATTGGAGATCTTAATCTGAAATCACTAGTTTCAATTTTCTTTTTAATCTGCTTATTTGGATGATCTGTTGTTTTGGTGTGTATAGAGCTGATCCATTCTCCAAGAAGGATTGGTATGATATCAAGGCTCCATCGATCTTCAGTGTCCGAAATGTCGGAAAAACCCTCGTCTCCAGAACTCAGGGTACCAAGGTAATCTTCTCATTTCATCTATTGAAAGATTTTTTTTTTTGATTAAAGATTTTAATTAATTTTTTTGATGTTATATATATAGTAGCGTAGTATTGAAGTGATCTGGTTATGCAAATGTTTGTACTTGGACTCTGTTTTACTTATCTTGAGACCCATTTAGCTCTTAGATTAGTGTTTGCTAAGATCATTTTCAGCCCTTCACCCATTTTTTCATCTAATTTGGTTCCAAAGTTGAGTAAAAAGTTTGATTTGATATTAACTACTCCAATCCTTTCATCAATTTTTCATCGAAATCTTTTTAAATTTTTTCCTCGTGTCCAAAATTTTTCTTTTCATCAAATTTTATGACCAATTTGACGAGTTAACAATTTGATGAAGAAAATGACTCTCACTTGATTTGATGAAATGATCGGAGATGATTTTTTGAGGACTTCTTCATCAAATTTAAATTTGAAGAAAAGATGAAGGATTGGAGGTGCTCTAAATATGTGGAAAATGTGAATGTAACACGAATTGGATTTATTTGCTCTATGTCAGAGACAATGAAAAATAATTCCTATTACCTCTAATAAGGGACCTCCTCATTGGTATCTTGTGATGTTTTTTTTTTTTTTTTTACTAACTTGCTTGTTTTGCAATATTGTCCTCTATTTTTTTCCACTTTCTGATTAAATTTATAATGTAGTATTTGTTTTGGTTAAGTCACAAAGTATAACTAAGCTTGAGCAAATTCATTGTTTATTACTGGTAAATCATTTGGGATATTTTTTTCCACTAATGATTTCAGTCAGTGATTTGAAATCTTAAGTGTATTGAGGCTATCATGTCAAGTTGTTGATTCTGCTTCAGCAGCAAACCAATCTGTGTATTGTGTGTTCATGGCAGCATGGCATCTTAGTATTGTATTACCTTTTTACTTATTGTTGTTGGCTCTTGGTCCAATATTGATAGCTTACTTAAACACACTCATGTGCATATTAATGTGCTTTGCATTGTTTAAAAATGAGTATTTGTTGATTTCCCTTGAAGTCAATCATGTGAGCTTGAGGTGTTCAAAGCAAAGTGAGAGTGATGAAAACATCTCCACTGTTCGACAACCTTGTGCAGTTTAACATGCAATTCTTTTGCTATTAGTCTCGAAAGTATATTACTTCAGAACTGAATAGCCTTTTCAGTCGCCTCATGCTTGCCTACATTTTGAAAGACTATAAATTATTAAATTAGGTTATGTTAAGATTTAATTCTTAAGAATCCCAACCATATTCAACCCAAAAAACTGGTCACTATTAAGCAACAAAACGGTTGATGAAATAAATAAGTATAATTCAGTTTCATTTGGTTTTTAAAAATAATTTTCTTATTCTTTTATTTTTCACAATTTTTATGCACTTTTAAGAAATTGTTAATGGTTTGGAGTTTTCTGCACTTTTAAGATAATTATTTAGTATTAAAAGTTGAAAGGTTTTATGCATTGAGGCTTACAAAAGCGTACAACTCTCCTTGCATATATTTGGAACTATTCTTACAATTTTAGTTATGTTCTCTATCAGATTGCTTCTGAAGGACTCAAACATCGTGTGTTCGAGGTCTCCTTGGCTGACCTTCAGGGCGATGAGGACCATTCCTACAGAAAGATCAGACTGAGAGCTGAGGATGTTCAAGGGAAAAATGTTCTGACAAATTTTTGGGTATGATAAAAATCGAGTGTTGCTAATCCTTTTTGTGATCATTCTTAACTATGCCCGGTTTTTATTTTTTATTTTTGTAAATGTCAGGGAATGAATTTTACAACAGACAAGCTGAGGTCTCTGGTGCGCAAGTGGCAAACATTGATTGAGGCTCATGTGGATGTCAAAACAACAGACAGCTTTACTTTAAGAATGTTCTGCATTGGATTTACTAAGAAGCGACCAAACCAACAGAAGAGGACCTGTTATGCACAGTCGAGCCAGATTCGGCAGGTAGAATTACTTCTAACTTTCTGCATTTATTTTTTTTTGTTATTTTTTTATTTTTCTAACAGCTTATTTGATTTATTTGTTCATTTATTAAGAATTTAAGTAAAAGTAACTCAATAATTCAGGACTTATTAAAAAAAGAAAACATTAATTGAGGACTATCCTGATAATTTATTTGTCGCCAATGCCTGTAACTCTGGAGTTGTGATGACCCAATGCAAATCTTGTTTGGGATTTGGTTCAGATGCAGATGCAGATGCACTGTTCTTAGTTTGTTTCTTTGTTCCATGAATATAATTAAGTGTTGCCCTGATTTTGTCAGATCCGCCGGAAGATGAGGGAGATCATGGTAAACCAGGCACAATCATGTGATCTGAAGGAATTGGTCCTGAAGTTCATTCCTGAATCAATTGGCAGAGAGATTGAGAAGGCGACTACAAGCATCTACCCTTTGCAAAATGTGTTCATCCGTAAAGTCAAGATCTTGAAAGCTCCTAAGTTTGACCTTGGCAAGTTGATGGAGGTAAGTCTCTTATGTTGTCAAAGTTAGTTCCTTGCACGCTGTGAATGAATTTCCTATGTTAAACTTAGTTCCTGATGATTTAAACTTGGTTTGATCATTCTGAAATGTGGCTTTTTGATGTAGGTCCATGGTGATTATGCTACGGAAGATACTGGGGTGAAAATTGATAGGCCTGCTGCTGAGGAGCCTGTTGTTGAGGGAGCAACTACAGAGTAAAATCCAAGCATAAATTAAGGATTAAGGAATTTTCTTTCATTATTTATTTTATATGAAGATTTTATTTATTAATTTTTTTTGAATGGAATAATTATTTTCTATAATGTTAATTCGTATTTGGTTAGTTTGAGAGACTAGAAGTGGAGTTTCCACTTCAAGGGAACCACAATTTTGTGCTTAATGAAATAGGCAATTTCTGTTTATTTTTTATATTAATTATTGTCCTAACCCATATAAAATATCATGATATGGTCTAGTTTTGCCAATATGATTTGTTTTGTATATCTTTATGGCATAGTCAAAATCATAGGTCTTCGAAACTGAACCTGCCTTTGGATATATATTCCATGACGACCTTGTGCTTCTTTGTTATCATTCCACATTGGTTAATAATAAGCTTGCCATCCATGTAAATATAAGGGGTGGTTTTTTGGTCAAGTTCAGTATTAGGATATGTATCATTTGGTAATAGTGGTAGTTATCGCATTGAGTATAGTCATCATGTTGAGTATGGTATCGTATGCAATCTATGTGAATATAAGGTCGAATGGCCAACTTTTTGTGGTTCAAGCATCAGAGGGTTTAATCTATAGGGTGAATTAAAATATTAGTAGAATATGAATAAAGTACTATCATGGTGTTGAGTAGTATGGATGGGTGAAGTCACCGAAAGTGAGGTTAGTTTACATTTGGTTAATGTCATAAGAGTGGATTATGATTAATATGTCAATTGTGGAGCATTGTATTTTACGATTTTAGAGCATTGTATGCTACAATTTTATGTCGGTTAATAATAGGAACATTTACCAATCAGTTTTATTAACTAGACTTATTTACTTATATGTCTTAACTGATAAATTTATCATTATAAAAATAAAAGATATAAATTTATCACTTCATAAAAGTAAAGAGAACGATAAATTTATTATTATAAATTTATTCATAAAAATAAGAGATTAATAAATTTATCACTTGATAAATTTATCAATAAGATTTAATAGCTAATAAGTTTTAAAATAGAATCTATTGGTAATTTCTTAATGCTATGTTTGGTTGAGGGATTTGGGGAGGGATTTGGAAAGGGAAAGGGAAAAGGTGTGTGAAACTAGGTGAAATATAAGTATATTTTATTCACATTTCACCTAACTTTTCTCTTTCTCTTTTCAAATCCATCCTCAAATCCTTCGACCAAACACAGTGTAAAGGAGTTGATCATGGGAAATAAACTTTTTAAGTAGTCTCTTTTTGTAAGTTGATTTTTAAGAGCAAAATTTACTCTTATCTATTAGTTTGTTAGATGTGACATTGCCATTCGTGTAATCGGTTGTTATGCTTTTTGATAATTGGAGCTTTTGGACCTCATTGGTTGCACATCTGGTTATTCTCATCACCTACCTCTGGGAGCTTCTATTTACCCCCCACTAAATCCTCTTTATACACATATTTAATAAAGGAAGTGAGTAAAAAGTGTAGTGAGGGGATGTGTAGAAAGTGTATATTGTGTGTGTAAATAGAAGCTCCCCCTACCTCTATCATCTTCAATTTTTATATTACAAAATGACAAATTTCACCCTCAAATCAGTACAATTACTGAAAACCATTGAAGAGAGTGTTTGCCTTGTGTGCGTGGACGTTTTAGTGTCAAGTACATGCTCCATATGTAAAGCAAAACCGTTTGGGAAGATGGTTTGTGATTATTTTAGTCATAAAAAATAAAATAAATTATTTTAGTTACAACAAATAAAATATCACATCTAATTTATAATCATTACTTTCTTCTCTCACAAAAAAAATTAAAAAGTCAAAAAATCATTTCCAAACCAAGCTTTTTAATCCAGGCTAAAATAACTAAAAAAGTCAAAAAGTCAATCCACTTTCCAAACGAAGAGTGAATCGGATAATCTCATGGGTCACTGGTTTAATTGAATCGTGACATTATATTTACATAATAAATATAGAGTTAATTAACTAAAAGTCTTATTTACAAATATTATGATAGATTATATTTTATTTAAGATTTTTTGAATCAATAAGTCCTATTTAGTAAAATTGAAAATATTATTAGATTTTTCTAAATTTTAAAACTAACATTATCAATTTTACATAGTAATGTTTTAGATAATTGTTTCACTAACTAATGAAAAAAAAAAACAGAACATGAGATTAGACGTTGTTGCCCTTCTACTTATTGGTTTGATTTAATTATCTAATAAAATTGAGAATATTAACCTTTTTTTTTCTAGTTTTATAACTGAGAATATTATCAGTTTTTTTTTTATTTTTAAAGTTTATTTATTTATTTATTTATTTCCAATTTTGCACCTCACTGTTTCATCATGATGTTCTTTATAGACACAAAATTTTTAATTTTGCACAAAAAATAATTTCATTTTTTCAATTTTTTTTGCACATTTTTATATAAATTTTTTCAATTTAAAAATTGATATTTTAAAGTTTTACAAATCAAAATAAATGTCAAATCAACATATTTTTTTATAAATAATTATAAATGAATAATTCCGACTATTAAAAATTTAATAAGGTTTGAAGATTTAAAAAATCTTATTTAACACATAATGAAGTGTAAGTTCATAAATTAGAACTTGTATGTAAATATTTATAAATATATTAAAATCTATACTATATATTAAGCAAAAGGGGATTTTAACCCCCAAGGCTTGTGGGAGTTCCAATATCCCAATCCTAATTTTCTAATTTTTTGATTTAAAAAAAAAACCTCAGCATTTATTAATTTCTCCCAATCCCCATGTCTTTTGGGAGATTTGGTCAAAACCCCCTCATAATTAAACTTTAATGCATTAAAAACTAGCATAAACAAAATTCCTTAAAAATTTCAACACATCTATCTATCTATATTATATTATCTATATCTATATCTATATCTATCTATCTATCTATATCTATACTATATATTAAGTAAAAAGGGATTTTTAACCCCCAAGGCCCGTAGGAGTTTTAATATCCGAATCTGAATTTTTTATATTTTTTATTAAAAAAAGAAAAACTCAACATTTATTGATTTGGTCAAAATCCCCTGATCAGCATTTATTAACTTTTTTCAATCCACATGTTTTTCCACATGTCTGCATTTATTGATACAATCCCATGATCAGCATTTGAAATCTCTCATAATAACACTTTAATGTATTAAGAACAAACATAAAAATTTTTTTTTTAAAAAAGTCCAACACATATGATTATTATCAAAATATTAAATTTTAATATAATATAATAAAAAAAAGACATTTAATTCCTTGAAAAGTCCAACAAAGTCCAACACATACGATTATTATCGAAATATTTAACTTTAATATAATATAAAAAAGGGAAAAAAAAAGAACATTTAAAAAAAAAAGATATTTAAAAATCGCAATTCACATATATAGATAATTGTAAATATATTAAGAAAAATGGGGTTTCTAAACCCCAAGCATTGTGGGAGCTCCAATCTCTCAATCTTAATTTTCTAAATTTTTGATTTTAAAAAATAAAAAAAACTCAGCATTTAGTGATTTAGTCAAAATCCTTTGATCAGCATTTATTAACTTTTTCCAATCTACATGCCTGCATTTATTGATTTGATCAAAATCCCTGATTAACATTTAAAATTTCCTCATACAAATAATTATAGATACAGCATGTGCATATTATTGCAGTAGCCTTTTTAATTTCTCCTGTACACTATGGTTAGTGACAAGATTGTTAAATTATTTTTATAAAAAATCTTTAAAAACATAATTTATATATTAAAAAAAAATTAAAACAAATATAAACATCTATAATTATCCCGTGCATAGCACGGGTGATAGGCTAGTACTATATATTAAGTAAAAGGGGGTTTTTAACCCCAAGTTTT